TTATTTATTTATTTATTTATTTACTTATTTATTTATTTTGATCCCCTGCCCAGACACTGCACCCTTGTCTTTTGACCTCAAGTATTTTATCTGTTACTTGCTTCATTCTCTGGCTGAGCGGGAATGGGATCTGATTCGGATGGGAATTGGCGGAGAAATTAATTTCTCCAGGAATTTAGTCAGGGTACATTTTCATGCTCCAAGGGAGACGTTGCTTGCTGAGAATTTTGTGCCCTTTGAAATCATTGATGATACTACAGCAAATACTTTCTCTTGATATTCCTAGATTTGCTGTTATTGAAAATTCAAAGAGTTCAACGAAAGTGATTGCGGCGTTATCTTAAGCGTCCTTTCATCTACCCGTGAAAAAAGAGTACGTAGGGTAGGGTAGCACGGCAAGGATAAGATGCAAATACAACGACATTATTTTTACGTCTAAAGAATGTTCGAGGCTGGAATAGACGGTGAATATTGGACATTCGATATTCATAATGCAAAGAAAGCATACTCGTAGTCATTGTTAGAGAGCGCATTTTTCAGTAATTACATATTTTTTCTCTTTCTACTTTCCGTTCTCAAATTTGGAATCTTGGCGATTAGTCGATGGCGTCCTAATACAATATCCATTTTCTTCGTTATATACTTTTACATATTTAGTTATATACTACATATTTTACTTATTTTGAAATTTTCAGAAAATATTTTTATTCTATCAATTTTCATCAATGTTTTTTATAAAGAGAAGTACTTTTAAATAAATATTATTAATAAAATATAATATGTGTATTATTAAATGTAAATAATTCATAAAAGAAAAATTAATAACGCGTCGGAGCACTCATCGAAGGTGAAATGATAGGAATGTGTAATTTATATGAAACATGCTAATTGTCTTCATTCGATGAACAGATTTAAGAATTTGTAGATATTCCTGAGAAAATAATTGTTTAAAAAATGCCTAAACTTTACCTAAAATTGCACGAAAACTACTCATATATATTCGGAAAATTGTACGGAACATTTTTTCAAGACCTGTCTTTCAAGAACAGGTATTATTAAAGAAAAACTCTATCTTTAATACTGCAGTTGAAGGAAAATCCCGGAAAATTTGATCTTTTGCAATTTTCGAAAAATGATGGATTTAAACGAAAATGAGACTTTTTTAAGATATCTTTACGCTATCCTAGGACAAAGTTTAATAAAAAATTGTTGAGCCTTTTTGAGCAAAGTTTAAAAATGTAATTAAAGTTTAGAGTAAAGTTTTCCCCATCATCAAAATATCCGAAAAGGGCCTCGAACTTCAAATTAGGAGGGCCTGGAGTTCCTTTAAATTGATCACGGAATATCCATTTTGGAGGGAATCGGTTGAACAGTTTAAACACTAGCGTTTACCATTGGCAGACTAACGGACAGACAGACCTTTCGCCGTCAGTCTATTTTTCGATATCAAGGACACACAAAACATGGGTTCTGACAAAACACGGGGTGTTTGAGGAAGAAATGCACTATATACAGAAACAAAGTGTATCCACTTTTTTGTTACCAGCGCCCGGCAATAACAGTTTTTCTGTAAAAAAAATCGTCATTCTAACACTTGTGACTTCGCAACTCTTATTTGATGGTGAATGAGAGAGAAGCTAATGAAGAGTTGCATATTAGTGCATTTTTTATACTAATATCTACTTTTTTGATCTTTGCATTTTTACCGTTTCTACGGCGCCGACGGTAACAGGGGCTAGCTCAGTGATTTTCAGCTCACTCCATTTTGATCTTGATTTGGCGACTTTTTTCCGGCCTGAGACCTTTCCTGACACCAACCACAGGGGATACATAGGCCCAATACACATGGGCAACACACACAATCACAAAACACACACTACCATGCCCGACGAGAATTCGAACTCACGATTCCACTGCTGCCTTAGCGATCTCGGATACACGGATCAGCTACACGGAGTGTCTAGGAATGAAATCTCTGCAGCATTCGTAGATCCTTTAATGGTTGGCTTGGTGTTTTCAATAAGTACAGTAACAGTACGCAGGACCCCAGTCCAATAAACTGTCAAAAATATATATTTTTGTTTAGAAAAATAATGTTTTAGTGAATCAGTCGGTAGAATAAGAAACAAGTGACAACATGAACGTGGAAACGAATTTTATATTCCCGTTAAAACAGGGGAACTTTCAAACTAGAAAACCAAAGTTAGGAAAATAAGCAATTTTAGGTTTCATCCGGAAACATTTCGAAAAGGTGGCACAAAAATTTAGCAGGAAAACTTAAAAGGCGGAAAGATACTTACACAGAAAGGCAATTGAATATAGGCAACTGATGTAAGTAGCTTTCGAAATAAGATGGAATTTCGGCAAAGCAGGTGACCCAGAGGGCAATGAACTTTGGGGAACGCGGCGAATTAAAAGGCAACATTTTCAGAACATCTGTAAAGTGCCAAATCAGAATAGAGGTAAAGAAAATATAAAACGTTTCAAAAGATCTCAGTGACAGAGGAAAGCGAGCGTTTTTGTTTTGATGAAAAAACAATCGAAAGCTAGACTGGCTGGAGAAGACACAGAGGGACGATAGATGGTGAGCCGATAACGTGGTTTCGGTGGTTTCGATAACATGGTATATTTCTTCTCAAGTTTTCAAGTGGTTTGAGGAGGGTGAATTTTATTAGAGAAAGGGTGTATGGGGAGCATGTGATGACGGTAGTAGTAAAGAATGGGGAGCCAGAAGAATGGCATTTTAGTTGGTTGCGTGAAACGCATTGGATGTGTGAAAAGTTTGGAACGACGAGCCCAGCTGAGGGAAGGAACAGATTGGCAAGCCGACAGCAACAGTATCGCCTAAAGGGAAGTGAACATTCGGCAGATATTATTCGCGCGTACGGCACATATTTTATAGGAACACCAAGTATTGTATATTAGATTTTTGTAAAACTCGAAACAACGTAGATGGTGATTACAACTATGACGTGCACGGTGTGAATGGGAATAGCTTAAATAGTTTGTCAGTAAGTGTGAATTGTTGAATCAGATATTTTGTTATTGTAAAAAGAAACAAGGTAAAAATGAGGGTTTTGTTTTTGTGTTACTGATTTTATCGGCAGCGTCACGGAGGTAAGTGGCGACGACGTGGGTTGTCGCCGCCGAATAAATAAGCAGTGCCGCTGAATACGGTGCTGAATGTAAAACAATGTTTATTTCTCCATTGGGTCGTAAACAAAGATAATTTCCCCGCCCATTACCAATAAATAATGAATAAAGAATCAGTTTCCCTGTCCTGTACAGGGGAAAACTTCAGTCCCACGACCCATTATAAATTTTTCACTGGTAACGCTGCCCATTCAAGAAGTATTATTTTAAAAATTGTAATAAACAGAGAGCTTGGATAGCACGGTAATACGTAAATGAGGTAAAGAAGTAATTGTAATAAAGACAGAGGCGCGACGGGACGCCCACAGAACATGCAGTCGTATTCTACCATTTGTTTCATCTGTTCATCAATAATTTAATAGTGAATGAATAGTGAATTCATGAATAATTGTATAGTGAGGTGATGTGAAGTGACAAAGGGGTTGGGGACATAATTCGGATGTTTAAAGATCTTACTTAAACTTCACATGGTGATTGTGTGTTTAAACTAATGGTGCTACAACAGCACATATTTCTCACGTTATTTTTTACTTTTCCGCCATATCATACTACTCCATAAACATGCAAAAGTGTTTTCAACCACCATACATTATTTTCCATGTTGAGAATGGAACTCAGGCCCTCCAATTTATACTCGCCGTCACCACACCCTCGCCTATCTACTACGTTACAGAAGCGCCGCAAGACTCGAACTCAGGCCGACACTTAATATGCAATTGACTCAACCCAATTTTTGCAACATACGAAATGACCCAATTTTTTCAATTACGAGAGTTCGCCGAAAATGGAATCAGAACCATATTTTATAACATTCCTTGGTACATAGAGGAGAAACTTTAAAGCAAAAATTTTGAGATGCTTTTGAGAAAAAAAAATTAATAACAAAATTGCCTGTTTTGCGCAAAACTACTCATATTTTCGAAAAATTGGGCATGACCTTTTTTCAAGATCTGTCATAAAGAACAGATTTCGTGAAGGAAAAAAAAACTATTATTAATATTGTAGTTGTCGCAAGACCCCCCAAAAAATCGCACTTCCAATTTTGCAATTTGCGAAACATCAGGGATTGCAACGAACATGAGACCAGCATTGTAAAGCTCAAATTCGGACCATTAAAAATGTAATTTTCTCAACCCAATATTTCTAATTATTTCACACAAATATCAAAACAAATTCGACAATTAAATGCGAATTTTAGCCTAAAAAATAGAAGTTAATAATGCGTCCCAGCGGCGGTGGTGGCTACGGCAAGTTCAGCTCTACCAGCGTGGCGTTGTGAGAGCAACAATGGGCGATTAATTTGGCATATATGCATGGTAAATATTTTCGTATGAATTGTTGCCCCAAACGTTCATTTCCATCTGTATTCGGAATTTAACTTGTTTATGGGTTTGAGTAGCGAATCAAGAATTTAAGAAAACATGCGCAGAAAACCCTTTTCTCCATAGTA